GACGGAAAAGACTCTAACAGGCGTGGCACAGAGGTAGTTTCTGGCCCTTTGCTTTGTTCCAGCAACAACTGAGATACAGATCGGGAAGGAGAAGGCCAGAGCAGGAGACAGAGGTACCCCCCAGCGGGGCAAGGCACCCCAGAGGCTCCACTTACTTCTTCATGACCATGTACCGGAGGGAGTTGCCCAGCGTGTGGTCCTCGTCATGCAACACGAACGTGACGCAGTTCCCGTCCGTCCCGTCCGCCTGGACCTGCCACAAAGCGGGAAAGAAGAGATGCTGTGAGGCTCTCGGAGGGAAGGAGCACCAGCCCTAGGGTGGAGAATGAACTGCTGCGCTCAGCTTCACCGGAGCAGCTGGGAGGCCTTGGAGGTCTGGCCGGGCCACCTCTGTGGCTCACGCCTCGGGTGCTGCAGGGTGACCAAGAGCACCTTCGCAGCGGAGGGAAAGCTGCAAAATCAGAGACCTCAGAGAAACCTCTCCCCGGTTATCAACGTGCCTCTGCATCCTTCCTCTTCCCAGGAGGGACAGAGGAGCCCGAAGCAAGCTGTGGCTTCAGGATCCTGGGTGGAAAGAAGCTGGGAGCGACTGTTCAAGCTTGGTGCGATCCCAGGTCCCACCACCAGCCCCTGGCTAGACAGGAAGGAGAGGGACAGTCCAAAAAAAAAAACCACCCCAAGGAGGAACGCTGCCTGCAGGGAAATCTTACCCCAGCTCGCCAACAAACCGAGCTGCAAGCCCAAATTCACGCCCGGGGAACCCACCGGCGAGCCTCAGGCTGCTGAGCCCCCCCCGCGGCATGAACCCCGCGACGCCGGCAGCCAGCCCCTCATCCTCCTGCTGCTTTTGGCTCAGGGGCCCGAAAGGAGCTTTTTACCAGCTGGACGCCTTCCTGAGGAGGCCGGTTTGGGATCTCCTCCAAACCCAACCAGTCACCGAATCAATCGCCTGGTTGTCCGAGCCCCCCCGACCTTTCCCCAGGGGCCCAGGCAGCCCCCAACCGCTTCCTCCCTCAGCAGCAGAGAGAGGTTTCGAGGTTAAGCACGGAGCCGGGCTAAGGTGAGCGCTGATCCCTTCGCATCCTGCCATAATCCTCGACCGCTCCAGGGGTTTTATGACCCCTCACGTTTCCCCTTGGGCAGTAACACTGCCCCCAGTAGCCCCGTTCCTCCTCCTGCAGCTACAGCCACCACGGGGGGAACAACCCAGCAGTTCAGGAGGGAAATGCAGGCGGATTTCTGCGGAGGAAGAGCTCGCCCAGCCCTGCAGCACGATTCAAGGGCGGGCTCCCCGCCCACCAGCTATTGCTGCAGGGTAGGGGCGATGCAACGACAGCTCATCCTCGGGGATGTTGGGCTGAGGGGGTCTCCCTCGCCTCCCAGCACCTCGAAATCCCCCACCGAAGCTCTAAAGTCTTGCTGGTGACTGACACAAGGCAGCGAGCGGCGAAAACACCTTCCCTCGGCATGGAACGAAAACGTGCGATGTGACGCGGGTCCCTCGCAGCTAGCGGCACGGATGAGACGCCCCGCCTGCTCTCCCGCTTGCTAGACCCAGCACCCTCTTCCCAGAAGCAGCTACTGGCCTCAGTCTCTCCTACTACGAGGCCTTGCAAGGAATATTTGCTAAAATGATCAGCACCAGCCACGCTCAAGAGCCCGTTTTTTTCCCAAAGACTACAGGCTCCAACAAGAGCAGCCTAACTCAGGAGGCACCCGCGTGCCGGGACGAGTCGCCTGGCCCCCAGTTTGCTCCCTGCATCCAGCCACGGGGTTAGAAGGGCGCCCAGGTGCCAAAATACCCGAGCAAGCCCCCTCGCCCCCACGAGACAGCTCCGTTCACTGGGACGGCAGCGCTCTTGCAACGGGGTCGCACGATGGGAGCGACACCTTAGCACGGGGAGGGGGGCAAAGAGATGCTTTTCCAGACAGAGCCCAAATATTTACAGCCCAGTTACAAACGTTGCATAAAAATGATCTGAAAAATAGGCTGAGCAGGAGCTTAGCACGCAGCACTGGGAGCCCCAGTGACTTCAGACTCCTTCCCAGAGCTGAAGGAACACAAGGGGGGAGGAAGGAAGGGCCAGAGGCCCCTCTGGCCAGCTTGTGGGGCTGCAGCAAGCGCCTCAGGGCAGCACCCCCAGGAAGGGCAGCTGCCCCTGCCTCCCCGGCACAGGGTAAGCACCCAGCGCACTCATCTGGCAGAGGGAAGCCGGAGCACGGCTCTGTCACGCAGCCCTGAGGAAACGCCGTGTGCTGAACCTGGCTGCTTCACCGAGACTCAACTTCTCTCTCCTCTTTCCTGCGGGGAGTCCTCGGGTCTCTCGGCAGGACCATAAGCTTTGCTGCTCCTCACCTGGTCGGGTATCTCGCCTCTGGCACAGATGCTGTCCGATACTTCCAAGGAAAACCATGTTCTCCTGAGGGGCAGATTCCTCCCCGGCCCCTGCAGCACCCGGCTCTGCGCCCTGGAGCTGAAGGCTGAGATTTCTCAGGGTGTTTCTGAGTCTTATCTAAGAGGTGCCCGGGTATCAAACTATTCATCCCAAGAAAACTTGTTCTCCCATGAGCCAACTTTGTAAGAAAAGCCCCGATGCCCTGGAGTAGGGAACTCGGATCATCCGGAGTTTTTCTGCCTCGCCAGCCTCTTTGCCAAATTGTCCTTGTTCTTGTACTGCGGTAGAGGCAGAAGGAAAAGCTGGTGAGATCTGGAGGCAGCTTCAGGATTGATCAAATCCACTTGGGCCCCTCGGAGACAACAGAGCTGGAAAAGCCTGCACGTCCCCCAGGAGGAGCTGGGGTACACCCTCCCAGCGAGGTCTGGGCACGGCCCCTGTGACCCAGCGCAGCACTGGACACCCTCCTCCAGCAGCTCCGCAAGCCTAAGGGCGGCGATCTCGCACCACCCCGCTTCGAGGGGCTGTGATTTACGACGATGAGCTATTTAATGTTGCATTTGGTGCCCAGGCAGTGCTGTGGCGGATGCGTTAGCGCGGCGCTGAGGCAGATGGGATCAGCCAGACGTGGAAGTGGGTGGGGAACAGTCCCACAGCTAGCTTGTTCCGACACTCGCGCAGAACTTGGCTTTTAGGGCAGAACGTGTCGTCCTTGGCTGGGCTTCAGGGGTCAGTATCGCTTTCTACACGTCCTCCTGTTTTCGGTACCGCAGTCCTCACGGGGCAATCTGCCGGTCTGTGGCCAAGGGCCTCTCTAGCAGCTCTTCAAAGATCACTTTCCTTCACCACATCAGACCTGCAGGATTAGGATTGGGCTTCCTGGTGCGGTTGTGGCTTTCAGCCTGGGGCCTGCGCAACCAGGGAGAAGAACACGGCTCTACAGCGCCTGGAAAAGGTGACTGGCAGCAGGCAGGCTACTGCTAAGGGACTCTAGGGTCTGCTGCCCCAGTAGGAAAAGTTTAGGGGCTGTAGATCGAAAGACTATAGAAAATCGTATCAAGCCTTCCCCAAAGGCAGGTTTTAAAACCAGGCAACTTACAGAGCCCACAGTAGGGCTGTCCTGGCGCTCAGCTCTCCCCGTTTCCCACCGGCAGGCAGGCAGACGGGCGCTCGGAGCACCCCAAGCTCCCGGGTCGGCTCTCGGTGGGTGTCACTGCCAGCCGGGAGCCTGCAGCCCCGTTACGGCGAAGTGCAGTGCCATCTAGTGCCTTCTGCCGCCTGCCGTGGGTACCGGAGATGGGAAGAGGGTCCATAAAACTCCTGGCGCGGGGCTCGGTGACCTGAAAGGGGTGCAAGAGGGGGAGACCGGGCACAACGCCGGGGCTCAGGCAAAGCCATCCAAGGCCTGACGGTACGCAGCGCTGGGCCATTCAGCTTTAAACAGCAAGGCTTGTTTCAGAAAAGTTTTCAAACAGGTTAGCCCTGACCTCTAGCTTCAGTTCTCCATATCCATAAAACTCCTGGCGCGGGGCTCGGTGACCTGAAAGGGGTGCAAGAGGGGGAGACCGGGCACAACGCCGGGGCTCAGGCAAAGCCATCCAAGGCCTGACGGTACGCAGCGCTGGGCCATTCAGCTTTAAACAGCAAGGCTTGTTTCAGAAAAGTTTTCAAACAGGTTAGCCCTGACCTCTAGCTTCAGTTCTCCATAGGGCAGCCTCCCTGAACTCCAAGGAACTCAACGGAAAGGCGCCTTCCTCTCCATCCCCCCCTATTTCGGGCAGCACCGCCCGCTTCCCTCAGCTTCTTCCTCCCTCTGCCGTTCGCAGACGCCGTAACGGAGCAGCTGCTCCAGGGTGGGGCA